CTCTATGTAGACATGGAGTCCACTGCTGCCAAAACAACGGCGACTAATGCAACAAACAACGCTGTGAGCGCAGTTGTAAAAGTACCAAAAATACCGCCAGCATTGCCGCCGAAGCCGGCAAACTTGTTGAAGTTCAAGAAATCATTGCAGCAACTTGACGAGCTGCCAGACGAACACCTACACCAGGACGGACCTGCAGCACCTGAACCGGACTACTGCTCAATTTCGGAGGTAAATGTTGGCATAACTAGTGTGCAAATTGTCGCAGATGTGCACAAGGCGCCCGAGTCGGAAGCTGATTCAGAGTCAAATTTGGGGCTTGAAGCGCCTATCTCCGAACTGGACGCAGAAGTGTCGACGGTTGCCTCAGATGAGACATGCCCCGTCTCCCAAAAGACTGATGAGATCGAAGAGATTTTCGCTGATGTACCAAAACTGCCGAATGTGGCGGCCATAATAGCGCCGAAACAGTCAAAGTTTCCGCAACCACAGCAACTACAAGCGCTAAAGCCCTCAAGTGATTACCTATTGATGTCACCTAAAGTAGAATCGCCTAATATGAAACTGCAGAATGCTCGTAACGCCACCATACTCAATACTGCGACTGCGACAAAGCCGAATTCCGCTGGCATAAGCTCCCCAAATAATAATAACAGCACACCGAAGGTACTCGGTCCCGCAACAGTGGACTACCTGAACACGCCTATTAAATCGCCCAACCGTCCGGACCCCAGCGCGCTCAAGCTACACCTGCATACACCCAGCCCACTGCAATACAAACGCAAGCATATGCCGAACATACTAGCCGAAATCAATAAGCGCATGAGTTTGCCCAACTCGCCAACTACGCCCACAGCGCGTCTGACATTCACGACGCCTGCGAAGCCGGCAAGCGCCACAAAAACGACACTGCAACAGAAATTGGAGATTAACACGCCGACCAATATGCCTATGCAAGCTGAATTCGATTGGTACAATTTGGATGCCGAGTATGGCCGAACACCATCACAACAACCCGATCTGCTCAAAGTGAGCGATACGCTCAATAACGGCACTATGCTCGCCGGCATACACGAAGATGGTGAAAGTATTGCGACTGCAGCCGATGAGTATAACTTGGATGAAGAATTCTCACTTGCTGGCGATAAGCCTGATATACTAAGTGCTGGCAGTGAGCCGGACAACGAAAGCGCCGAGGAGAAGAGCGAAGAAAGTGTAGTGGAAAATAAAAGGACGGCAAAACCCCAGCTGACAATCATGAAGCACACGACGCAGGAAGTTGAGAATACTAAACTCGAAAAAGTAGCCGCTTTAAATGCGGCCATTTGTGAAGCTGTGAACTTTCCAATGTTCGGTGAAAGTTCGCCGCTGGTGCCACCTTCGCCAGCAGTGGTGCAGCAGCACCATGCTAAAGCAAAGAAAATTAAGAAGAATTTAGCTAACTTCGAGAAATTCATCGAAGGTTCGGGCTTGAGCACGAAGCCGCTACCGAGTAAGCGAAAGATCTACTTTGCCGGGCCATTTGTGTGATTAGAGGAAGGCGAAAGAGTATTTTAAACTGGGTGGACGGATAGTAAGAGAATGGAGAGAAAGTAAAAGCGCGCAATGAGACAAATACGAGTTATTGCGGAGCTTTAGTGATCAAGAGAGCGTCCAGCAAAGCGGTATGCTAAGTGTGGTTTTTGTGGTTCAACTAAATATTAAATTAAATTTAACTTTAAGCAGACTTTCTCACGATCCTAAAATTATTTTTTTTTGTATTTTTTTCTCGCTCATTTTTTAAGTATTTCTTAAATGTATTTTTATTGAGTATTTACTGTGTGAGTTTAGTTTAAATCAAACTATTTTTAATTTAAGTTAAAACTGTGGTGTCTCCTGTTTATGTAATTTAATTTAAGTAAAAAAATTCAACTAAACCCCAAATATAAGGTAAACATACATGATTTTTAGTTTAAGTTAGTTTTTTTTTTTGTAAAATTTTCTTGAATTTGTAGCGAAATAAATTACTAAAACTCAGTTAAGTGACGAACTGCAAATAAACTACGTATGTAACAATTTTTGTTTGAAGAAATAAAAGAAAAATAAAATCACTCAGTATGTTTATGTGGTTTGATTTCAATGAATATATGATTTGAACAAATGGCTCAATTTGCTGGAATAGTGATTTTCAATAACAATAACATTAGAGGGTAAAATCTCAAGTTTTGAAGTGACACAAAAAATCGCCAAAACTTAATTTAATTAATAATTTTCGATCGTAGATTATGCACCTGAACACCGTTTTTCTAGAACAGGTAATGGTCCAAAGATATTTTCATTTCAACTATAACAGGTAAAAATTTTTTTAATTAAAAGATTTTCCTTAAATTTTTCCGATGGCGAAATAAAACAGTTGTGAATAATCCAAATGAAAATGCGCAATGATTTTTTGTATGAAATCTGTGTTCGTATGGAATAGTTGCTTATGTCGAAAGGTTGGCTTTAGTATATATCGGCATTCGCAGCATATGATTGCAAATAACTCACTGGGGCTGAGCAGTTGAAGAAGTTTTGCCCAATAAACGTGCAATAAATAGTTCCGATACTAGCAAGTCAATATTCTTATTAAATCTCATCAAAAAAATTCCTTGTCGTTCAAAGCATAAAGAGAATGCCGCATTATACTAAAGCCGGCTTCCCGACATAAGCTACTATTCCATACGAACACAGAAATATGAACAGAAAAGGATGTTACTCATACACCTTGTAAATATACGTATGGCGTATGGGTACGGTGACCATATGTACCTTATTTCAAAAGACTGTGCTTTGATTTTATTTATTTTTCCAAAGTGCTCGATGATCTTTACCTTCCTCCTCGTTTCTGCAACTGCGGTGGAAATTATTAGAGGGCAAGGCTTTACGCTCTTCGTTTATTGCCATTTAAGAGTGTCCGTTGATAAAGCCAACTCTGAGGTAATCGATACATGATCAAGGAGAACTAGAGACTCAGAACCGCTTTCGCAAATTCGTGGCCAATCGTGTGGTTCTTGTGATCTTGTTCGTTTGAAGATAGTTTGCTTGACGTCATTTAGGGCAGAATTGTACGACTACAGATTAATGCCCTCCCGTGTCAGATCGTTCACAATGCTATTTTCAGGCATAGTTCTATGCCGCATAAACAAATGGCTTGGAACTAGGGCTGTGCGATTATTCGATTACTCGAGCAAGTTGGTTAATCAATTATTCGGTTAATCAATTACTCGAGTAATCACGATTTTGATTACTCAAAACGATGATTAATCGAATTACATGAAATATGATTACTCAAAAAAATAATTTTGCTCGTTAAAAGAGTTTGCTTTGGAAAATTCTTATTTTTTTTTTACATTCCGTATATGAAAAAAAAGTTTCGTTTTAATTTTTGAAAACAGAAACGTTGTTTTCAACGTATCAAGGAACTTTAACTATTTTATACATATGTAAAGAGTTGAAATGTTGATTACTCATTTTACTCGAAATGTTGATTAATCATAAGGCAAATTACTCAAATATTTTTGTTTTTGGTTAATCAAAAATCTTGATTACTCGAGTAACTGAACTTTTGAGTAATCATAACTTCTAATTAATCGAATAACTGAGTGATTTACTTAATGATTAATTAAAATTTTGAGTAATCAATTAATCGCACAGCCCTACAAATTAGGCTAAAACATTGGCATTGTCTATTGTCGTGCTGAAATAACGACAAAAATCGTCGAAAACTATGCAGTGCTGCCAAGTTTTTCCGTTTTAATACACTAGTCGAGTCGAAACTTTAGGCAATGACATGTTTTTTTTCGATACGATTCGACTCTCGAAAATCGACTTTCACTCGACACGACTGTCGCAATGAGGCTGATTATAAAAAGTATATCAAAAACAAGTAGGGCTTTTTAAAAAGTGGCATATAACTCGGTTGTTTTTGGTGCTAATACTTTAAAATTTTTATTGAATGTTTATTTTAATATATTCTACCAAACTCTGTGATAAACGTAGTTTCGCAAAAAGTGTAGTGTGTACCGCCTTTGGGAATTAAGGTGACGCATTGTTCCTTGAATTGGTACGTGCGAAGAGATATTGTCGCACTGTGGATATTAAATCGAAGTCTGGTTTTCAGTGTACGCGGTAATGGAGCTTTTGTATTACAGGAGAGCAGCCTTCTTTGTACGCATATTTCTTAATTCAGCTTGGAAGACACCACAATACTCCGGTAGACGCAGGTAGTTATTCCGAAATTTAGCAATAAGTTGTGCTATATGTATTTACGAATGTATGCATATCCGCTTGCTTAGGTGGTCGGGTCTTTTACAGATAGAAGGTTGAAAAGGTACGTAAAAACGTTAGTTACTTTTCTTTAAATCGAAGCGCTGGTTATTAGTTTTATGAACTAGAATGAGTGTTGCTGCCGAACTTACTATGTATTTAGCTTAGAACCGTCGCTGAAAAATTAAATAGAACTAAGGTCTAGTTTTTTGCACTGGACCTCTCGCTCTTGTCTCTTTTCGAAAACTTATTATCAAAGCAGGCGGGCAAGAGTTTTGCCTAGGACCATTTCAGCTAGGCAGAAGTTTATCACCAAAAGGACCGAGATAGCTTCAGTAGCTTTGCTGGGTGTAGAGGGAAATTGCCTGGTGTTAAGCACTCTTCCCACCTTGTTGTTGGACGTGTTTTCCCCCCAGCGCCCGTCGCCCCACGGGCCCTACGTCAGCTCCAATTTGATGATTGAAAAAAAATTACAAAAAATCCGTTATATTTTAATTTTCTCTCCCCTAAAGTTTGCATTTTTTTCATTCACGATGCAAATTAAAATGGAAATATATTTGGAAAAAGACCTGATCTAGAAAAACGGTATACAGATTCATAATCTCTGACCCAAAATCAAGTTTAGGTGTCTCGGCGTGTTTTAGTAATTTAGAGCTCTGCGCGTTTAGCGGAATCTCTCAAGAGTGCGTTCGATTTTTATTTAAATCAAACAAATATTTTACAACTATTGTAAACAAACTTGCATTTTATTTAATCAAAGTTTGTACATTCATCTTAAATCGCCATTTAAAGTGCTCAACACACAGCAATCTATGTGGTAAAAGTGCATATAAATATATAATTCTTATTCCTTAGATAATCATCATTAACCTCAAAAACACAATGCAAAAAATATGTCAAAGCTTTGCAAAATAAGCGTCCCTGCTTGCAGTTATTCATTTACATATATAATTGAACTTTAAACTGAGTTGCAGCAAATTTTAATTAAACCGTATCTTTTTTTTCGGCGGAAGGCAAACTCAATAAATGTGGCAGTAAAATTTCACGCAGTTATAAAAAAAAACAATATACTGGTTGGCTCCTTAAACGCATAAATGCAATTCCATCAGTCTCTTTTATTTCCAAATCATAGCAATACATATTTTTTATAAAGGTGCGCAAATTATATACTTTCATCGACTGTGGTTCAGAAATAAAAAAAAAATACTGATTCTTTGCACCAATGCGTTTATGAGTACAGCCACACTTTCATTAAAACAATAAATGCAAATTCGTAGTTTGCGTATAATATTTGAAAACGAGATTTGAGCGCCTTATATTTAGCTGCCTCTAATTTGCTTGAACATTTTAGTCAGTATTCCATAGCCTGTGCAAGTTCCCTTTCCTATTTTCAAAATTGAATGGTGAACACAACTTTTTAACTCGACTGCAAATATATAGATAATCATGCATATATGCGTATGTATTTCAATAAAGAAGTCAATTCAATTAACCAAAATGGCGCAAAACAATAAAAAATAGTGAAGTATATGAAGTTAAGTTTGTATGATAATGTAAGTCCAGGAGTGATATTTATAAGTTATGTATGTTCAATATATAAGTCCAGCAGAGGTATTATTGTATCAGTAAACTTAGTTGCATAAAATTATCTATAGAAATAATATTTATAAGTTAAAACTAATATCGTTATAAGAAAAGGGCATAATCTGTGTGGCTATAATCCACACTAGTACATATAATAGAATATTAAAGACTAAACATAGCTTTCATAGAATTATAGAAACTGAATATTTTATAGAATTGTAAAAATATGTAGCCTACAAAATCAAGCGCATAGCACTTAGTGCCATACCACAACCTGTCTTCGACGAAATCGTGATTAATATAAACTTGTCTTTTTCATAATACGCAAAAACTCATCCTGATTCACAACACCATCATGATCCAGATCAGCTTCATCAATCATTTCACGCAACTCCTCATCGGTCAGCGTTTCGCCTAATTCGCGTGCAACGCGCTTTAAGTTCTTAAACGAAATTGCCCCGGTGTCATCATCATCGAAAAGGCGAAATGCTTTTAATATTTCTTCTTTGGTATCCTTCTCAGCCATTTTCATGGTCATTAATTGTAGGAAATCGTTGAAAGATATGCGACCAGTGCCGTCCTTGTCAATTTCGGCAATCATGCGCTTGATCTCTTCTTTCTTCGGCTCAAAACCAAGGGCACGGATGGCAACCTTCAACTCTTTGACCTCTATAAAGCCGGTGCATTCGGTATCGAACAAATCAAAAGCCTCCTTAATATCGGCTTTTTGTGCTTCGGAGAGCTCGAACTTGGGGCCGGATTTCTTGCGCTGCGATGTCGACTGATGTTGTCGTTTGCCAGCGGCATTTGTGGCCAAAGTCGCGGTCGACGGGTTATTATGATCCATTTTACAACGCTTTTTTTCTCTTAAATGTGGACTGCAAAAAATTAAAATTTTTACAATTGTTAAATTGTCCAGATGTAACGCAGAAACATCAAATACAATACTTTTCTTGAAGGGCTTCAATCTGCAAATGCGTACACAGGAAATCTGTACGCTAGTTGGGGGCAATAGATTTGTTTGTGAATAATAAACAACGGCGCGTTGCTGTGAGCACAGGCAGTGCCGTGACCCTGGTCACTACCGCGCTGAGCTAACAACCCTCACCAAACGACGTGCGTAGTTATTGAATGCTCCTTTGTTTTTGACGTGGATTTTCCAGATTTTTCACTTTCATATAATTTTTCAGAATTGTTTTTTTAATTTTTGAAAAATCGAAGTGAACGCGATGCCTTTCCTGTGTTCAGTTGGTTTATTTTTACAATGTAGTTGCTAAAAATAGAAGAACAGGTGGATAGTCCGTTGCTTTTGTGCGCTCACTTCCAAATTATTGAGTTGTACATTTGACAGTCCTTTCACCACCCACTTGAAAATGTCCTTTGACCTTTTAATTGGGGGCGGGGAAATCAGTTTCGGTTTTATTGACTTTTCCGCGATGGTCAAACAGCTGTTGGCCATAGTATTGCCATAGCTAAGATTTTAAGGTTTGTGTCTTTACTAACCCGAGTTGACACCTTACACGCATGCTTCATTTCTTTCTGAATGTCGTAATTCGCTATACTAATTTGGGTATTCAGTAATTCAGTCTCATATCAAGTCACAAAATTTGGGACCAGCAATTAGTAACTATTTTTGTGACTTGAGATGATTCGGATATTCAGTTGTAGAGAGTTACAAAAGGTTCACCAAAAATTTGTGGTGAAAACAAATACAGACAGTCAACAGATGGCATGGTCGAAAACCAGTTTTAGCAACGAAAACCTGTTTTCGATGTCGGTCAGAACTTGGTATTACTGAATACGAAATAGTCTCAAAATCCATGTTCAGCACAAAGTCACTATTAGTGACTAGAGACTGCTTACTGAATTCCAGGGTAAACCTTGGTTGGTTGAGTAATAGGCCAAATACACCACAAAGCATGTCTCCGCATCGCGAGATACTTTAAATATATTGTTTATCATACTCGAAATACACGATACGCAGATATACTGTGTGGTCTATTTTGCCTATAATTTAAATCACTTTACTATTGAAGTGACGAAAAGGTTAGCGACTCTTTTAATTTTGATCGGGGATTAATCAATTAAGAAGAAACAAAACAAAACCATGAACTGTCGAATTGAATTATGAATATGGCGTTGTTGTTGTTGTAGCAGCATACAAGTTCTCCAAAGGGTTTTTGGGGAGTGTTGCTAGAGTGACAGTCCCTGGCCAGATATAAATCTGGATCGTTCCGGTTACGTAGACCCGACTGTCGTGGGGATGTGTAAGCATTCGCTTTCGTAGTTGAAGAATAAAAGTATTTTTCTATAGATAGGGCTTAACATTTTTTTCACCAAAACAAAAATCAATTCATGCTAATGGGCTGATTTTGCTTACGCGTAAAAGCACATTTAGCGCATTTAGCTCTAAATGCTACTCTAAATGTACATTTATCCATACAAAAATCGTCACCTAAATCCAACTAAATGCAACTCCATTTTTGCATTAAGAATCTAAGTGCTAAAAGCAACACTGTGATCTTCCAAAATATCCACGATTCGAACATGGTTTAATGAGAAAAAGTGGCAACATTGCTTTTTCGCGTATACAGTGGCTAGCTGCGTTTAAGTGATCGCCGATCGAGATTTCATTTTATTATTTTACATTATTTGGATAAAGAAAAGTTACGCAAATTCAACATCGATATGATGCTGATAGAAATCTGGATCAATTTGTGATCAACTCTTTTTGTTTTGTTTCCTAATTAAGTGAGGAAATTTTAATTGACAGCACCGACAAATGAATATATACACAAACAATTGTTCGGTTATGGTTAAAACAATTCAAGTTTTTGTATTGAATTTTTGGTTTAAAATTTATTTTTTCCTTTGCAGTAGGGTTTTTTGCACATTATCTTCCGCGTGATAATTGATCGCAATTGTTACGGATCGAAATAAGCGACTGGAACACTTCTGTTTGTCAAAAGCATATATTTATTAACAAACAAATTCAAATTCCAAAACAAACAATTTAGGTTGTCAAACGAACTCGCACGGTTTTAGCATCTGTTTTCCTTAATTGTAGCAGTGCTGGAAATTTCCAGTGGAATATTAGTTTAGGTACTAAAATTTAGGTCAACTCGCACACAGCCTTAATGCAAAAATGGAGTTGCATTTAATTGCATTTAGGTGACGAATTTTTTATGGATAAATGGACATTTATTAGAGTGGCATTTAGAGCTAAATGCGCCAAATGTGCTTTTACGCGTAAGCAAAAACAGCCCATAAATTGACGAAACGTTCTACATTTGATTTGGAAATAATCCCTTGTAACTGCCGTCCCTAAATTGGAGCGCTAAGCGTTGCGTTATCCATTGTCGACGAGTGTCAGCGCGCGCTATCCCCAAATCAACGCGTCGTAATTTTTGACGTTTTCTCAGATCCTCTCGTTTTTATTCTCGTTTCCTCTTTCACTTTTTTGTCCTTTCTCTTTCTTTCCGTCTTCCGCATACAACTTCAACACGTAACGCCCTGTCAAAAATGAAAATTCCATTTGCTCGGCGTTAGCGCCGCGTTATTGTGGGATGCTTCATACAAATTGTATGGGCATGAGGATTTTTGACAGTTGTTTGGCGCTTGACGCGCCAATTTAGGGATGGCAGTTAGAAGGTAGCGTGTAAACGTAGTATAAAATCGTGATGTTTTAGGAATTACACGGCAATGACAGCCGAGGAAATTGAAGAAGTAAACAAAGAATTGACGGATATATAAATAAAAAGTTAACAACTTTTAATAAAAATCAAATTATACCACATATTTTCCTACAAATTCGTACTCCGAGGCTGCGAAAGGCTGAAATGTGCACAATGGACGCAACAATAAAGGAATGGCAGCGTTGGTGTCGCCTTTGCGCGAAACATGATGGCAATTACCTCGATATATTCACTGAAGAAACGCCATTGGCTCTGGATTCGAATATCAATATTCCTCTAGCTGTAGAAGAATACTTTCATATCAATGTACGTGTTTTTTTGAGTGCAAATATTTTTTATCGTTATCCTTTACTCGTATAGGTAAAGCCCAAGGATGAAAAACCTCTCCTGATATGTACGGAATGCTACGCTACGCTTTCATCGCTGGAGAAATATGCTGAGCATGTGAGAAAAGTGCAAAAAATGTACCATGATTTGATAAACACAAGGGATACCGGCGAAATTGCTTTTAAAGAGCTATATCACAAATACGGGCTATTTGAATGGGAACCGTTTAAACCCCTCTTAATTCATGATATGGAAACGTCAACAACTACCCCGGACATTGAACAAGTTTTTATTGCTGATGCATCAGTCACTGACGGTGGAGATGAAGATATGGAAGAAGAGGAAGCAAAAGATTTAGTGCAAGCCACTGAAATCAAGGTAGAACTTTCTGATACAGTCAATAGAGGTAACCAGAGTGTGGGGGAATGCGCCCAGATGAACAAAGGCAGTGACAGCAGCAGCAGTAGCGGTAGCTTTTCATCTGACACCGAAGATTTTGAAGAACAAGTTATATCAAAGAAAGTGCGTAAAAATAGTAAAAATTCAAATTCGCTTGACGGCGAAGAGTCCAAAGAAGGCAATTATTCTTGTAACATTTGCCAACAACGTTTTATACAAAGCAGAAACTTTGCACGCCACATGAGGCGCAAGCACGGCACGGAAGCGCCAGCAGTATGGAGATGTCCGCACTGTAGTGAATCGTTGAAGTTTAAGAAAGAGCTGGAACGCCATATAAAAAGAATGCATGCACCAAAAATTTATCCATGTCCACATTGTGATAGAACATTTAAAGGAGCCAAAGTCGCGGAGAATCACATAAAAGCTGAGCACGAAGGCGTAGGTTCATTCATTTGTGAAGAATGCGGAGAAAGTATGCGCACTAAACATAAGATTATCGAACATATGGCCACACATACGGGCCAAGGTGCATATGAATGCAAAGAATGTGGCAAACATTTCAAAAGAAAACAGACTTTGAAGGTAAGTTAATTTATAATACATATATTGGGGATTGACTTTAATTTTTTTCATATAGAGACACTTGGAAATCCATGGCGATAAACATATCTGTGGCGAATGTGGAATTGAGCTGAGTACATCAAAGGCACTGTTGAATCACATGAAAGTGCACTCTGATGAAATGCCATACAAATGTAATTATTGCGGGCGCAGATTTAAGCGAACAAAAAATCTAAAAAACCATCTTATTACGCATACTGGTCTGAAACCTTATTCCTGTGACTTCTGTGATAAAACTTTTTCAACTGGTTCAAGTTGTCGTTATCACAAAAAGCATTTGCATCCAAAGGAACTTGCAGAGCAGGAGGCTGCAGGCGTAAAAGCTTATACAAAAAATATACCCAAATTGCATGTTTTAAAGGCGATGTGAGTAAAAAATTAGAAACATTTTAGTTAAATAAGTAATTAATAAATTTTTTTTTGCAGAACGCAAACGGCTGGAGATGTTGAAAAGATTGAAGTTAATGTGACCGACAAAAGACTACGACTTCCAAAACTGGATGCAGAGTTACCTGACGCTTAGAATATAAAAAAAAAAATAATTGATAAATATATAATTGAATGGGTTAATAGTTTTAGATTTTAGTTTTTGTACTGTTCTTATCCACATAGCGTTTGTTAACGCATAATCTTGTTCTGGTACGAATCGACAAATTCTTAGTATCACTTCCACAAAAAAAATTCCGTTTACATATGCATATGTATTTATGTATTTAAATTTTTAATGACTGTATTGTTTGTATTTAGCCTGTGTTAATATTTTATTGTTATATGTAGCAAGCCCAACTATTTTTATATGCCTACTAGGGAAACAATTTGCAGTTTAAATATTAGAATAGCATTATAGGGAGGGGTTTATTTAATTTTTTATTAAAATTTACTAACTGGAGATGGAAATAAAATCGTTAAAATAGTTTTGCTGCTTAGACTGTGTGAAAATCTCAAAGAAAAACTTTCTGCTTCCTGCTACTGTCATACATCTTAAGGCGGTTAATTAAAAAAAATACTTTATCGTCAATGGGTTATGTACTTCACGAAGTGAAAAGTCATTGGTAAGATCAATGAACTGCTGCTACTTAGGGCAATTATTTACATATGTTTGTATGTACATATGTACATGTGAAGGTAATCAATCTCCATCGGTTTTATTGCGTGCTGCACAAACACGACAATTTTGTGACAAACATACATACGTGCTTAATAGCAACAACAACTATGCATGCAAAAAACAAGTACGCCCATCGCGTAATCCGCTTAATGTAATTGAATAACAGTTTTTATTCGCAGATTTGTAATCCAGAAGAAATTCTTAGAAACCTGTTATCAACAATGAAAAAAGAAGGAACGATATACCACATACTGCTTACATACGTACATAAATATGTATGTACCCACTGAGAAGATAGGTAAGCACCTTACGAGGTAATTCATGTTTTTTCAGCTTTTCGTAACAAAATTGTTATCATGACTAATGGCAAAGCACAGAATGAAGACCTCCGATGGCGCCTTATGTTGTAAATTTTAAAATCATGTGCAGCCGAAGACGCTTTACATTCAGCGTACCTTATGTTTGATACCAAATGTACATTCTAAGTTCCTACTTCCATAACGCGGCTATATCTTTGGTAACGTAAGGGAACTTTCACTGGGAAGTGGTGAAGAGTAGGTGCTGGTAAGTAATTATGTATTACGTGCTCCCAATTCCTACTGGGTATGTATAAATACGCAGTCCGGTGCAAATTGCAAACGTACATACATACTACATGTACATTTTTATGTAAGTATGAAAAGGTAGGTTTATGAAGTGTGACAAAAGTATTTTAAGTATAATTTAAAGGATAAATTATTTTAATAGATAAAGTTGTATTAAAGTACTTTTTACTTTGTTTCTCTCGAAAATTGTCATACATTTTGAGTATAAATATTCACAAAGTAAATAGTTGCTTAGTGTTATTACATTAAACGAGCAATTCTTGCATATAAATGTATACGTACATGTGTATATCCATAAGATTCTCGGAAACGGAACTAACGATTTTGATGAAATTTGTATACTGATAATGTTTTGCACTTTAAGGTTATCTAAATACTAGGTATAATCTTCGAGAGGACTCGCATAAGGTTGCCACCTATTCGATATTATTTACAAATTAATTAAAACATCATCATATGGGTATCAAATGGAAGGTATTTAAAAATTCCTAATTCAAATATATTTTTAATAGAGTTGCCCACTATTTTGAAACGAATATTTATGTATTTTTTTGTTTAGAAAATAAAGGTACAATATTACTATTCATGGGTACCAAGAGAAGGTTCTTAAACAATGCTTTCCCTATACATATATTAAGTGTTATCCCTTAAAGGCCCTACACACGCATTGATTTATCGGCCAACCAGTTGAATAACGAAATTCCCTACAAACGCATGGACGATTTCATTTGAGTTAGAGCCTTTGAACTGTGAAAAACAACCACAGAACCGGTAAACCTTTAAGCTATGCTAGGAATGGTTGTAATTTTTATGTATTTATCTTACACACAGAGCAACAAGTTGACCAATCTGCCTCAAAAATCAAACATTTTTGATTTTTCTCCAACCTGATGAACAACTTGACGAAGGTTTGTTAACTTGCCTACACACGGCTTATTTACCACCAATTTCTAGCGGTTGGACAACTGGTTGGCCGATAAATGAGTGCGTGTGTAGGGCCTTTTAGGATATTAGTGTGAGGTTGCCACTTATTTTCGATTCTACGCAATTTAACTAAAACATCGCAATATGGATATCAAATGAAAGGTATTGGTGAGAGCTTTGGTCCAAAAATTTTTAGTTTGTTAATTTCAATCAGCATTTTTTTGTATGTATACAAAGTACATATAAGTTCAAGATGTGTACTATACATCGTCGTTTAAAGTACAAAACCGCGTATCAACAAAATGCAAAACCGCGTATGTGAGGTTGGATAAATTATTTTCTAGAGTAAAAACACTAATATTTCAAAATGGTTCTCTTTTTTATAAAGCAATCGCATTTCTGGCTAATATATTTCAAGGCGAATAGATAAGGATTGAGCAAAGAACTTGTGTGAGTAAATCCAATTTTTGGCAGCAAATGTCAGTTAAGCGGTTTTGCAGAATAACGATACGCGGTTTTGTACTTAAAACGACGGTCTTCATTTCAGCGCATTTCTACACAGGGTTGCCACTTAAATTGTAAAGTAAGAAATTTACTTTTTAGATACCAAAGCCCATTTTTTTTTAATTTATTTCCAAAATATGTTTTTTAAAGCTATCCAAATGACCAGTATTTGATACCCAAACCTTGAAAACTTTAAAAATTATATGCACTTCGAGCGAAGTTCGGTCAACCTGGTACTTTACATTTTTAGCTTAACCAGCCACCGACGGAGCACCCTTCCGTACCTGCCGTCCGTATCATCATATGAAATTGTTGTTGATAGAGAGAGAGAGAGAAGCAACGGCAACGTCACCGTCATGCGGTGGTGAGTTTTCGTTAACACGAGAATCCCGTAAGATAGGACGTGCCGTACGGTTTTACGTCGGTGGCTGGTTGAGCTATTACGCTTTATTTTAAAGTCATAATTAAACAATTGCGAAATGCGTCATTTGACTACAAGAATATGTATTCAGAAAATACTTTGAGCACGAATACTTCTGCCGGTGCTTCATTATAAATCTTTTTTATCAATTGGGTCTATTTCGAATTATGCAAAGCTAGGAAACGCAAATGAAAAGAAATTAAAAAAGAAATCCCAAGTCAGAAAGAAAAAACAAAAAATTACACGATGAAAGTTAATTAGCACTAAACCACGATTTTCCATAAGTGTAGCAATTAATCAATTATAAAGCACTTAAGCTGTTGACAGTTTTGTCGAAAAACGAGATCACGAAGGAGTAGCAAAAAAACAAAAAAAAACAAACTGAAATTGAATGAAGGGAGAAAGGTGGATAATATATAAATTTATGTTAAAGCCTAATAGTTTTATAGTCCGCAAAAGCTTTGAGAAAAATAAGAAAAAAACCTTTTTAAAAGGTTCAAAAAGGAGTCCACCATCGAACCATGAAAGCTTCTAGTTTTAAAGATGTACATACATACGGTATCGGTCATATCAATAGCACGCTAATCTCAAAGCGTTCATTCCATAACAAAGCCCAAATAAACCCTAGGTAAAAACTTTGAAGAAAATTAAAAACAAATTTCAAAAATTTGTCATCCAAATTTTAAACATTGTTCTCACAAGTGCTAGAATTTTTTGAGTGTCTATACAGGTTTATAGCCCATTCAATTTTAATACATAATAAGTGGCTAGAAATTATCGTAGATTTTTTTTCTTTTGTCGAATGTATTCTCTTCCAAATATACAAAAAATGTGTTTATTCGTTATATGGAAGCAAATGCGACAAGAAAAATTCACCGATCGCAAATTTAATGCTATCTATCTCGGCTGAACACGGAAGTGGCAAACACCTGTCCTGCATGTGGGCAACACCCAGCATCTCTTCAAATGCGCCTATAAACCAACGACCCTCACACCGGGAGCGCTCTGTACCGCGCCCGCTTTTTCGGCCTCAGGATTGCAGAGTCGGAAGATGAAGATGATGATGATTCATCACAGAACCTGGGGGGTTAAGCACTGTTGCTACAACAACAAGAAACAATTCTAAAATTCAGCAAATATTTCGGTTTTAGTAAATACTTTTTATATAAATTTAATGTGTTCCGTCTGATGGCATTCGAACTTGGGACCTTCTTTTTAACCGAATTCCAAAAAAGGAGGAGGTTATCAGTTCGTCGGAATATTTTGTTTTTTAAATGTATGTTACCGATTTCGATAATTCTTTTTGCATCGGAAAGGTAGTATCTCAGAGGTGGTCCCACACTAATCTGGTTTAGATCCGATCAGGGGATCATGAAATATATATATATATTTTAAGTCGGTTTGTGTTTGGCCGAGATTCTGCTCCGATTTGTAGCGGGCGCCTTGATATTGTCACACAAAGGGGAGGGATCTACTGTTTTACGCCGACTCCGAACGGCGATTTTATTTTAATGGGAAGCTGTTTTTCCTGGCAGAAATACACTCGGAGGTTTGAAATTACCTGCGCATGGGCGACTGCTATTAAAAAAATTTTCAAATTGCTAAGATTCTTTTTTGCTGACGATGTTACCCATTTCCTTCCATACTAAGTATGTATGTATGTTCGAATGTTTTTTTTTATGGTACAAAATAAGCGAGACCGTCAGCAAAAAGTCCCCAAAAAGTAATGAGATTTTCAAGTAAACTTAAACTTGCAAAATACTGTACTAAAATTGAATTGGACTAGTAATAAAACTGTATACCCGATTTTTTTCAGAAATTCCGATTAAAAATATTAAAATTTTTAAGGGTACTTTTTTTTAAATTCGTAAAATTTTTATACATCTTGTACAAAGTTTGAAACTTTGAATTAAATATATGGTTTTCGTTGAAGCAAGAACTATATTTTCGTAAAAAAAAATAAATTGTTTCTAATTACTTATACTACACCAATTGAGTCATAAAAGTCTAGGCACACAAAATTTTTCTAAAATTTTTTATAAAGACACAGTTTAACCTGCAACTAAAAACATAAAAATAAAATTTTTCATGAAAATTTTCACCTTTTTAATCAGATTTTTTCTGCACGGAAAAGTAATCGCTCTTTTTCGCCATAATGGAAAGCTAAAAATCTGTAATTCATGAAAACTACACTACTAAAATCAGCATTTTGTATTGCTTTGACTTCGGCTAGTAAGTTCGAACGAGAATAAAAAACCCTACAAGGATCTCCAAACCAACAACAACCAGCTCATACAAAATTGCCTTCTTAAAAAACCGTTCTAGCTGTGTTTCATACCTGTATGAAAGCGAATTAAAGACATACGGCTGGTTTCTCCAACGCAACTGAACTTAGTTTAGCCAATTTTTTTAGACTTAGTCAAGAATGAACTGTGCAAAAGGTAGGCTAACTTTTGGCTTAAATCCAAAAAAAAAAATGGCTAAACTAACTTAAGTTGAGTTTGGTGAAAACAGCCCATAATGTTTTTATGACTATTTTGAGTGAAAAAAGAACCGTGCTATAAGTACATTTTGGAAACAACCTACATAGTCCGACTGGGTAGTCGCATCTTGTAGGGACCTATGTATCTGCATATGTGCGACGTTGAACTGTACTACTTATGACTCAGATAAGCAAAATGAAAATAAAGAAAGTAAAAGCTGCAATTATCTTCAGAGTCTCTGTTAGCTGTGATGCAACATTTTTATTAACGATGCATCCACGGGAGGCGCTGTTCTCGATCGATTAACTTGTAAAAAAATTAATTAGTGTTTTAAACAATAATGACAGCTGAGCTTTTAAAAAGTATGCAAATCAGTAATAAGCAGATAAGAGATGGAATTTCGATTCAGAAGTCAATAATAATGTAATGGTATAGGTAATGACACTTTTCAAAAATGAGAGAGTATACTTATTTCTAACTCTGAAATGTCTGCCTGACTTTGAAAGTGCGTACTCTTTTTCTGCTTATGAAAGACTTTGCGTGTTTTCTTATTCTTCTATATTCTTACAAAACATCTTCCGGTACTATTCCGGTGACCATCCGTCCTTCATTTTAAAGGATAGTTCTTTATTTTAGCCAACTGTCATTTATAATTCTATTCAAAATAAGGGCCCCCTTTTGTTTTTTTATTTTTTAAACTGTCCTTTAAATCAGCTCTACATTTTTCAGGGGTAATTTTTTAAAGAGAATATGAGAAAATAAAAATGTCTCTTATAAAACAATATGAAAACCTTCGCCAGTTTGTTTTGCACCCCACTTAAGGCTTTTTATTTAATCGGTAATCTTTGTACAATCTATAAATCAGGAATCCTTGCTAAAACTGATAGGTGAAATTTATGTAATTAAAAACAAAAAACCAACTAATATTACGCATTTTCGTAGAAAAATTAATATACTTTGAGTTAAATTAATTAATTAATTTATCTTCGTCGTGTAGTATGAATTGTAAACGCATTTTGGCAGCAATGGATGGCGAAGCCCTTGATAAGGATTTTTCGGAATCGGTTAAAATCCGGTTACAGCGTCTTTCAAGAAAGGGAACTTGTACAATTAAATAATATATTTAACTTGGAAATATTTGATTTAAATTACAATGGCCGGGACGAGTGGTATCTAGAAGGTTTTTTATAAATTGCGGGTGGAACGGAAAATAATCCTTTACCATCATTTCCGATAACATACGCAGCCTTCAAACCCCTTATATGAAATTAGCACATTTTAATTTTATATTGAGACAAAAAGTATGACGCAAATAGAAAATTCGAGGATATTATTATAAATAAGTTAATAAAAAAAAAACAAATATTTTTAAAGAAAGCTTTCTCAATTAACTCATTATTTAACTCGATTAGCCATCTTAGGTCATCGTGAAGTTGGGCAAAAATTGATTGCAACAAACATATGTACATACATACATACATGCATACAGTGAAGTTAAAAGCAAAATGTATTCAACAAAGTGTGATTGATTTTGACATTGCTCTCATAAGAAACAGGCTATAATGTCAAATTGAAATGAATTGTTAATCCATTTGAAAATGTGTTCATTTCAGATTTGAATTTGTTTAAAAAAAAAAAAAAAATACACACACATTTTTCAAGCAACAAATTTTCTTAATAAACGTGAAATTGTTAAGAGATAAACCGCCGAGAAGAGCAAGTAAGTACATTTAAGTTTGGTAATAAGTAAATGCGTTCGACTTTGCTTAAATATTTAACGTAAGGAAACCAAGATGAAACGGAACAAAACGTTGGAACAGTGCGCTGTATGTAATAAAAGTCAGGACACGAAAATAGTTCGATGTTTTAAACCACCTAGTTGCGAATTAAGACGGCAGCGATAGGACATTCTTTGTTGATTCCCAAACTCAAACAGACGACTCTTTAGAATGCACGTTGCGTTGTAGAAGAAACATTTCGGCTTACTGAAATAATTAAAACCATGCAAGCAAGTATGGAAGGGCTTAAATTAAAACCGCTCGAAGCAAGGCCTTTAATGGAAAACAATTTCGCATGAAAAAAATTTAATTTCAAAATTGTGAGAGTTAAGCTCACATATAAAATTGGAAAAAAATGTAAAATCATACTTTTATAAGTGTCGAATAATGTTTAGGATAAAAAATTGTAATATAAAAATAAACGCACAAAAGCCTAAAACTTGGGCAATTCAAAACTAGAAAATTGCTAAAACGATTTTATAAACAATTTGTTTTATTTTATTGACAAAATATATGTGATAAAAGTAATGTAAGTAAAACAAAACTGTAATCGAAATAAAAGCCTAGGACATCAGTGCTGATAAGATACATATATCACTAAGGGTTAAATTCGTTTGTTTATACTTTTTGACATTATAGTACCTTAAAAGAGAGCCGCACTGAGTTGTCAATCACACCTTGGTTAAAAGCTTGTAAAATAATTTGAAAGCCATGAGCATTTTATTTAGTGAGCGAGTTATCGGGACCAATTGGTCCCGCGATACAAATCTCTAAATACAACCGGTTTCAGACTAAAGGTTGTACTTTATGCGCGGTCATATCTGTGTTCGTATGGAATAGTAGCTTAAAATTATTCTTAACGTTTGGCCTCATGTTTTTAAATCATAAGAAAAAATTTAATTAAATGAAAATTTGCAGGAAGCTGATGTCCACTATAAAGTGGCGTTGAAGATGCCATGCCTTTCCAGTTCATCTTCCATTCAGTTTTTTTGCAATATCACTTAAAGCTTGTTTTCACTATGTCAAATTCAATGGCATTTGTGAAAACACAATGTCAAATGCGATTTAAAATCAGTATATCGATTGACTTCGATCAGGATATTTAGGTCTTTCGTCGTGTATGTATATCCGTTGCTAAATCGGATATCTATCTGTTTTGAGCCATAATATCAACGGTAAAGGTATGGATAAACGAGATAAAGTTGTGTCGAAATATGTCACCAAATTTTGGTGCCAAAATGTGACATAGTGAATACCAGACTTTACTTAGTCCCGGTATACAATCAGCCTGATTTGAAATTATTGAAAAGCCCAAATCTGAGGATGTTGTAGAGTTCTCGACCTAGTACACAATACGTGTAACTTTACTAATAGGATTCGACTATTCGACTTATTTGTAAACGTCACTTATTTCCTTCTTATAGTCTAGACTCTAGAGTAATGTGAGTGGATCCATATCCGCTAAGAGAAAGAGTCCAAGCACAAGATTATCAAGTGGCCGCAGGCTTTATTGAAAGAGAACGGGCCTCAGCAGCCTTGTCTAGTCTATATAGTATAACGATGGGTACAACATACAGCATAGTGCTATATTGGTGCCTTCTCTAGCGTATTCAACTACTAGGCTAATGTAGGCTAAAGGTGGTTTTGCAACAGAACAGAAAATCTGTTGCCTTCTTATTCAATATTACAGGCGACTTTACTTTCCAGGATCACATCCAAGTACTTATAAGTACTAAAATTAATGAAAATACAATGGGCTGGAAAACCCAGAATAAAAATCTTAACATTTCTTCTTATTCGTCTTATTTGGTGCTGTAACCGCTTAGGTGATTTTGGCCGTCTTCAACAAATCACACCAGTCGTTTCTCTTCTATGTCAACTGACGCCAATTGGAAATGCCAAGTTATGCGAAGTCCTTCCACCATCGTCCTCTGCTCGTAAATCTTAACTCTTACTTTGGAAAAATACTTTACCAAATCTCGCATTGGTATTGGTTTCTTTTGCAATGACATGCCTCTACCACTACTTTATAGAACAGCTTCTGCTGCCAAGTAATCGACCACGCAGCCAACTGCATCTACTCAGCGTCAACGCACATAGCCACATATGAAGTAAGCGTTATTAGTAAAAGCTTTTTAGTTCGCCTAGCACGCATGAAGCGATCTGTAGCCTTTTCTAGTACTGAATTTTTTTCAATTTCTTATTCAACTGCAGTGGCTTCTTAAATACAACTTGTACATGATAATTTAAAATATTTTATTCATTCCACAAGTAGTTTTTTTTTTTTCTTATTTGAATTGTTGCTGTTTGTATGACTGTTACAATTACGCACGCGCGAATCTTGTTTCCAGCTTAGCATCCTCCACACAGCCTCAGCAGCGAAGCCATTACGGCTGCAACTTCAACCGAGTGTTTTTTTTTTTTTTTTTTGCCGCGTTCTAAAGTTATTCCGGCTACAACCTAGCTGACTTCTTATTTATATGCATACATAAATACATACATACAAACGTAGGTATTTAAATACATTCACATTGTCGTTGCTGTTGTCGTTATCGATTGGCTTCTTTGACTCCAACGCTCTTTCTTTCTGTTTTTTTTTTTGGGTTGTTTTTTGTTCAACTTTACTTTTTCTTTGCATTTCTTTTTTTCTTTTCATTTGATTTTTGCATGCTCCCCAATACCGGTGTCTGCTTTGTTTTTGTTTTGGCGCTTGCGCACCCAACCGCGTAGTGTATAAATAGCCATCGACGCGTCCAACTCAGAATCAGTTGGATTCTTACGCGCGCTTACTTTGTTACGCTGTTCGATTGCTGACGCTGCAGCTGGATTTTTTTTTTAACTTTTACAAACGCATTCTTATTTATGTAAATCGCTTAGTTGGAAAGAGTTTTAACTATTCCTTCGCGCTCTGTATGGACTGCACGGTGGGTGTACTCTGTTGCGCGTATCGGTGTGCTGCCTAATTGCCGTGTGGCTAAGTGCTGTGAATTTCAATTGGAACGAAGACGTTTGTTGCAACAAATTGTTGAAACAACTAAAAATTGTGCGCTTTGCTCAGTTCGTTTGTGTGGCGGTGTGCGATAGAAAATGTGTCACTAGCAAATTGTGGCTATTTGTAAGTGTCGACCGTGGCCGAGAAAAGTGCTCTTCCTCTTCGGTTGGTTGGAAATGTGAGAAGTGTGACAAAAACTTGGTGAAACAACAACAACAAAAACAATAAAAACGATATTAAACAACTTAAAAATTTGAATTTGAATAATATGTATTGTTTTCAACTGCAGCTTGCTGAATGCAAATAAAGTGTGCTGAATACGGAATCGAAAAATATTTTAAAGTGAGTGTAAATTTTTGCTGTAGGTATATGGATATTTATTTGCTAAAAATTAAACACAAGTGAAACAAACAAAATCTAATAAAATTAATAAAAAGATAGATATTTTAGAATGCTTTCTCGAATACATTGTAGTCGAATTTTTAACCGACTTCCAAAAAAGGAGGAGGTTATCAGTTCGTCGGAATATTTTTTTTTTTTTTTACCCACAAAAAAAAACTTTTTATAATAAAAATCGTGTATGCTTGCTAGGCGCATTCTCGAACGCAGCGTAGTAGATTTTTTTTTTTAATTTTACTTTAGAACGAAAAAAAATTATATAAATTTATAAAATTTAGTATCGATTTTTTTTGATATTTTTGCTTTAGAACGAAAACAATTATAAAAATTTATAAAATTTATATCTTTTTTTAACTTTTTGTGCTTTAAGTTTTTTTTACTTCTAAATAGTTTTTACTTTTATATTAAAGAAAAAAACTACATATTTAACTTTTTTGTTCTAAAAACTGTTAACGATTTTTATTTGGCTTTTTGGAAAAACGGAAAAAAGCAAGAAAAAGTTTTTTTTTTCAAAACAATAACTTTTTGCTCCCTTTTCGCGTATATTTTAAAAGAAAATTTTACAGAAAAATTGCTGCTGTAATACACTGTACAAAATTTTTATGAGTGGTAATTTCAAATCAGAAATGCCCCCGTAGAACCCGACAAAAATCGGCCCCTGTTGCAATGTCCGTAGCGCGAAACATCCTTGATTCAAACGGGAGTTTTTCAGCACGAAGGCAGCGAAGTGCTTCCACAGATCGGGATCCGGAATCTAAGAGAATACTTTCCTAACTAAAAGCCGTAATATCGCCGTTGTTAACAGTAGAGCTAAAGGACATCCATTTCCAGGATGTCCCAGTTGTCTCATATCTCAACTCATGCCCATTGGATTCGGTTCCACTGCCAGTGGTGATGACGCTTTAGAACGAAGAACTTATTTAGTGCTTCGTCACTGCAATAGTCCGTCGATCCGCGCATGCCTTTCCCTTTTTCTTTTACATTTACAGGTCCTCTTGGAAGCATAGGACATCTACGAAGCGTCTCCATCATAGTAAGTTTAAGCCAATATTCCTCACGCGCTCCCAGGATATGGTAACGGGTCGATCACGCGAAGAATTGTCGCCTTCCTCGTATAATTGCGACCCTCATGGCTTCTATGGCTATGCATATTCCAATCTAGCGCCCATTTGTTGATCTTGCCTATCCAACGCCAATTTCTTCTACTAATTTGAACAAATACGACATCTTCATCGTAAAGTTCCTACAGTTCCATATTGGAGCCGAAGAAGCTGCATAAAGCATTTACTGACCAACACTTGCAGTCTCTGCTTGATTTCGCTTCCGTAAAGGCGTTTCTTCTATTTACTTCCCTGGAGAGCTAGCTGCCTTGCGCCTCCACATGGTAAAATAACGGCCGCACTGACTTCGGTCTATCGATTATTGAGTTCATGCTTTAAGCCACATTTCGTGGCCATTGTGCACCCGATGCAGTAGAATCAGTCGACAAATTCCACGGGGCAGACTTACCAACCACATCTTTAAGCGGAGGATCAAAGGCAACTTCCCTATAAGTTGGCCGGGTTTTCAGATCCTGAACGCAGTTGGAGCTCAGTTTCTGCAAGTATCTCCTTTCGCTGCTCTGCTGATATCATTGAAGTCGGACCCATTGTGTCACTGTGCGGTATTGTATCACTGGGCGGCATGCATGCCAATCGCAAATAAGCTGCCAACCATTTCCACTAAAGCCATGGAAACAGTCCTAAACTTTCTGCTCATAAACCTTTTTTGAGAATCTACAGGCAAGCTGCAATGCAGTAAGAATAAATGAACTGTCAAAATGGAAAGACACCAGATTCGTTCACACCAATAGTCTAACCAACTACCCCGACCAGTTAAGGTCCCCATCTAAGAGTAGGAGGTGGGATACACTCGAAGGACCTCTCATTAGACCTCTGCTTTAGACTACCAGACCGTTGCAGTGTCTTCCCCGCTGGATTTTCGGCTATGAAAGAGACTTCACTCTGGCTTATTGAATCTTCTCTTAACTTGCCTTCAGTAACTATATACTCCGATAGCCAAGCGGCTATCAAGTCACTAAATTGCTGTGAGACCTTGTCAATAACTGCGATAGAATGTAGGAAAGTCCTTAACGATTTAGCTTCAAAGCCAACTATTCACATTGTGTGAGTGCCAGGCCACAGTGACATTCAAGGTAATTGTGCAGCGGATGAGTTTGCGAGGAAGGGATCCACCCTATCTGACGTCAACTCCTCTAATGCAGCGGGCATACCGTTATCTACCTACAAGACAGGGCTCAGGACATACTTCGCCAATAAAGCAAATAAAAGATGGTCGGAAGAACCCACGTTTGGGACGACTCGACAAATCTGGGCCAGCTTCAAAAAGAAAAGATCCGACGCAGGTTAGAACGCCCTCTACTAAGGCTTGTGACCGGTATTAATACGGGCCACTGTTTAATGGTAAGGCGAAGTTGAAGAAATCTATAGTGTGGAATACTACCTCTGCTACTACCCTGTCCTTATGTGGGTGCGAAGACGCTCATTCATTCTGGCTGACCTAAGTAAAGCAGGCATTCACGAACTCCCTCACTTTCAGGACCAAACCAACTGGTTCAACTTCTAGGTGAACGGACGGGATTGAATTTGAGCTCTCAATTGGTATCACAACGCACCTACTGGGTCTAAGTGTGCGTCTCTCCTACGTTTAATGAAGGCAAACGCTTCAACCTCACCCAACCTAGTTTCTTTCGTGGTTGAGAAATCGGCGACTAGGATCTTCTTACTGAAATGACCGACATTGTTAGGAGTTCTCAAACTGAAATGTCTTTGAAACTTTCCGATTCGAAACTCTGTAACTCTGGAGATCTGTATACCAGAGCATCGTTTCGTTCAATGCTACGAAAGGTATTCGGCTTTGGTTATTTCAGGTTTTTATGCCTCTGAGCTGCGTAAAGGGCGGGAATTTTTCAACACTAGTTAAACAAAACGAATAGCAGCTCTACAAATCCTTCGGGTCAGCTGAAGTTTTTGGGTCACCAACTTCTTAAAAGTGACTGAAATTGTTACTGAACCATAGATCTGGACTAGACCATAACTGAGCTATAACTCATAACTCTCGTCCGAAACATGACTGAAACAGAATCAGCTTACCTATCTTTCTGAACATCGCTCCATTGTAAAGCTTTTTTGTATGTGACTAAAAGGCAAGATTTGAAAAGTGCTAAATAGGCAGTTCAAAATAAGGCTTTGAAATCCATTTCTTTCCCCGCATAATAGCATACAGTTCTGACGTCTGCCTTTTAATTTGCATGAGCTTCAAGAACTTAGTTTGTTTTTTGTACTCTCTTCATTTCGAAATTATCATAACTTTCACGAAATACTTAGAAAATCTATATATAAATATATGTACTTTCATTAGATCTAAAACATTCATAAATATTATTCAAAATTAATCGCATTTAAATGTGCAGATTGAGTCCAATTAGAGAAAACCAACTATCATTATTAAGTCCATTAATATCGACATAAAGCCGGTCATATTAACATATTTTGAATGCCTAATTAAATCAATTCATAACACAATGTTACAGTAACAAGAGCCTTAATTCCATAAACCACAAAATCGAAGATGACAGATATCGTTACGAAAGTTCAATGTCCCTACTGCAGTGCAGCTACAAGATCAAGACCAAGAATGCCAAAGCAAATGCAAATTTACGCTGCGAAAGTACAGCCACACCTACAAGGGACGCAAAACAAAAATAAGTACGAAGTGCAATAATACGCAGATGTTGGTAAATGTACTAGTATATGTATGTACTTATGTTGACTCATTTAGGCACATGCATACATACATACATACATACATATGTACGTAAATAAACAAACGACATTTTGCCGCTGAGGATTCTGTGCCATTTGTCGCTGCTGTTTACATTATTTTCACCGGCGTCGCTCTTGAACTCATTCATATTGATTTTTTAGCTAATTTTGGTTGTTAAAAAAAAAGTGATACGTAAAGAAGAAACAATTTAATTGAAATCAAAGCGCTTAAGAACGCATATGCATACATATTAACGTACATGTAAAGTTACAAATAAACGACTCATTTGCATAAAATGATAAAGAAATTTTTAATGAGCATAGCAGCTAAGTGGAGGAGGTCTTTTGTTATTTGTTTTGGACATTCCTTTTGCTTGATTGTGGTAACCTAATTTTGTAGATTTATTTTAAATATTTATTTAAAAATGTTTCCTTTCTCTTCATGTTCTATGCTTTTTTATTTTTCTAACTAAGTAAATATTTAGATATGGAAAGTGAGCAAATTCAAGTGGCTGCAGGAAATGTTTACCAAGTTAACAGCCATGAAAGTGTTAATTTGCAGAGATATTAATAACGGGCCATGTGCAACATAAACAAAAATTTGGCGATAAAGTGAGCAGGTCTCATTAATGTCCAATTGACTTGAAAACAAAAGCAAATATTTAATTGCAAAAGGGTGTCGACACACTTATTAACGAAATTATTTCACATCTGCTTTCAAATTTTTTATCTACGAAATTTGGTTTTACAGCTATTGTGATTAAATGTTAAACTGGAGATAATTTTTTGCTAATTAAAAAAGTGGATTAAAAATGGTATGGACAAATAATTTTTATAGATCAAAAATTGGACATGATTTTTGTTGATTTAAAAACTTTATAATTAAGAAAATGGCCATAAATGTTCTTATTTAAAACTCGCCATATTTTTTTGATAGTTGGTGGAAAGTAAAAAGTAGTTAATAATTTTCAATAACATACAAATTTAACTTTTATTTTATGTTAGTTAAAAGCTGGGTATAATTTAATTGTGATGAAAAACTGATAATATTTTTTTTTTGGCAATATTAAAACGGTACATAATTTTTGTAATTTAAAATGTGGTTTTAAGTTTTTAGAG